AAATTTGGTCATTTCCAAGAAATGACGTAAATTCCAGGAATTCTCGAGAACTTTTGCGCCTTTCGAAAAATGCACAATGTTGCAAAACGAGAGATCGCGCTTTCAACTTTGTTGCCGGGAGCCGCTCCCGAAAATTGCACATTGTTGCAAACGGCGCGTCGTGCAACAATGTGCAATTTTCAGGAGCGACGTTCGGCAACAAAGTTGCAAACCCAGAACTCGTTTGCAACATTGTGCAATTTTCGGGGGCGACTCTCAGCAACAAAGTTGCATGCGCGATCTCCCTTGTTTGCAATTTTGTGTCGCGCGCGCGAATCGCGAAAAAATAACAATGTTGCCAAGCGCGTAGGCGGAAGACGAACACCTGACGCATCTGGTGGAACCTTAGTGTCTTTGTCTAAAGGAACGCGGAGACATTTTCGTCTTCACTTGATTATTTCTATAGGGTGTTGTTAGAAATAATCCAACACTTTTTCAAGGAATACGTGCTGCTTGAATTGATTTTTGTTCATTTTTGGTGGATTTGGTGGGTTTAGAGGATTGTTTATTAAGTGTGGTAATAATGATTGTATAGTTGATGGAAGAAATATAGAGAGGTTGTGAAATCGGTTATGGGTTTAAAGTTTGTGCTTGATGGAAGAGCTGTAGAGAAGTCGTAGGTCATTGTTTTAAGTGGAAATATCAATAGATCTAGCTATATGCAGGGAAGTACGCGTTTTTTAGAAGGTATCCAAATTTTAAATCACAAATGCTGAGTGAAAGACGTGAATCATCGGACAGTTGACGATTTTAGAGGCTAAATGGAAACTGTGATTGGATCTGTGAATGATTTAAACTTAACATTCGTCTAACAGATCTAAATAATTTGAAAATTTTTGTAAAAAGAAGATTATAATGGATTGCCCGATGAAAATTATTTGTAAATATATTTCTAAGATTTTTGGAATTATTAAAAATAGGAATACTGTTCGAATATGTTTCACGACGGAAAATTAATCTCACGTGTTCGTTTACTGTATGTTAAGTGAAAAATGAAAAGCTACCGTTGCTCCTGTTTTCTATTACTTCATATAATCCGGTATGGTCTAGTGGCTAAAATACCTGGCTCTCACCCAGGAGGCTCGGGTTCGATTCCCGGTACCGGAATTTCTCTTTTCGACGTGAAAATTCAAGCGAAACGACAATTTTTAATTTTACAAAACTGATACAGTGCCT